TTGATCTCATGAATATTTAAACATAGTTTGAATTTTTAACCAACGGTCTTAATATTTTTAATTTTGATAAATTTTCGTCACAATAACAGAAATATTTAGACCTATTCAAAATTCAGACAATGTCTGAGTATCCAAGTATTGGGATTAGAAATGTTCATAGAACTGCAACTAGAAATTCAAAAAAACGTGCCTAGAAATTGATACAACTATGGCTAAAAATTCAAACAATATTTTGTTAGAAAATTCAAACAATGTGTCTGTAACAAAATTTCAGCTTTGCTCAAATTTTAAGCGATTTTTTACAATAAATTGTGATTACTTACAGCTTACACTGTTTACATACAGCTCGATTTTCTACATGAATGATTGCTTAAAACTCGATTGCCAACATGTACTTTTGCCAATTGTATTCACAAATACAAAATTACAGCTAAATTACATAAATAAATAATGCGTGCTTTTAATACAGAGAGTTTGTTTTAAAACAGAAAATTTTAGTTATTAAATAAGAAAATTTGTGTTTTAAAACAGAATTTGTGTTTTAAAGCTGAGAATAGTACATATAGGCAATGGAAGTGCAGGCAATTATACATGTAGATAAATGATCTGATATAGGTAATTAATGAGATGTAAGCAAATGGTGCTAGAGGCAGTTCATTTATAGGCAACGTGATTCTCCCAAATAATTCAATATGCTCGGTTTAGACTTTAGTCAGTAACATAATTTACATAATTAAATAAAAATAATATTTATAATATATGCATTAATATTTATATTATCGTTTATCATATTGTGTGTGATACAAAGCCACTTTTCCATTAAAATTATCTTCGAGATACATTATTTCTTAGTTTAATACATTTACGCATAACGTAATAATTTTGACATTTGTGTATTATTTTATATATATTTGTTATATATTTTTTTATTATTAGTTCCAAATAAACATATTTTTTTATATAATTTAAGCAATATATATTTTCTTACCCATGATTAAAATTGCTAACATAACAGTCCATAGTATTTGCGACATAGTATGAGAAATATTGAATCCTTCTTTCTTAGATAAATTAATCGAATAAGGTAGAAATATTCATATAATTTCAGTCAATGTCGTAAAACCTGAAACTAATTTTATATTTGGAAACTTAAACGCAAAATACTGTTCAAGAGATCATATTTTACACAAGAGGATAAAATAAATCTTATATAGTAAAAAATTGAGATTAACAAAAGAAAAATATTTATTATAAAAAATGTAGAATAAAATTAAAGTAAATTAAAGTAAATTAATTAAAAAATAATATCTAAAATTTGGACTTGGAATAAATCTAAAAAGTATTAAAAATTACAATTAGATATATTACAGAGGTAACAATAGCAATAAATTTTTTTAGAAATAAAAATTATGAATTACAATATTGAAATTTAATTATAACTTTTATTATAAATAAAAATCAGGTTGTTTTTAACATAATAAATTTTGATATTTAGAAAGGTAACGCGAAATTAAACTCGACTACTTCGCAACAATTTAATACTCAATTAATTTTTGTCGAAATTTGTTACTATTACACTAATTATATAAAGTTAGTTGTATTATTATTATTAATTAAATAAATGGATGATTAACAATAAATTAAAATAAATCTAATTAGAAATTATGGGCGAACAAAATAGATGTAAAATAGAATTTGCTTTAACAAACATTACATACCAAACTGTATAACCAAAAGCGAAACAAGCTAGCTTCAATTTAATAACAATCTTTATCAACCGCAAAATATTGAATAAAAAATTACATACTCAATGAAAGTTCGAATTGAGGTTAGAAATAAATTAGATCAAAATTGAAATCAAATAGTGGAACGAAATACAAGGAAAGATCCGAATTATGATAATTGACAATATAAAATAATAATATAAAATAATAAATATATGCAGATAGAACTAAATTATATATAAACAAAGATCAAAATACAATATCACATTGAAAATGTATAGTCCGTTATTTATTCAATTTAAATTTAACGCATTTCGAATATCTGTCTTTTAACTATGTCATTTTTATTCAACTTTTACGAGTAGCGAGCTTGGTTAGTAATACATTAATAAGTAGTAATGCAATTGCAAGAATTATAATGATACTAAACAAATGTATGTATCTTTATTAAAAAGAGATATAGTAGCGAAAAAAGAATTGAAAAATTATTGGTGAAAGAAAAGTACGTTACATTAAAAGTTCATAGATTAATATGTTTAATTATTACTGATGTTAACGTATCTTAAATTAAATGTAATTTTAAATTAAACGATTAATTCCGGCGAATTCTAAGAATCTTATGCTTTATCATTTGTTTGCATGTATTATAGTCGCTACACTGGTTTTACATATAAAAAATAGTGTCAAAAAAATTATAATACACAAAAGCACAAATAATCGTATCATACTGTCTAAATTCTTTGGAGTGGAATCTTACTTAATTTTCAATTTTTAATAGTGAGATTGCACTCTTCAAAATTATCATTTACTCTAAAAGTTTTAAAGAGTACGAGAGTTAGCAATTTGTTATACATCCTGAATTTAATATGTTAATCAATTCCAAATTGTTTATCTTACCAAATCAAAAATTCCAAATCAAAAATCGCTCTTCTCTATATCTTAAGTATGTTGTAGACAAAGTGGAAATGATAACTCGGTTAGTAGGAGACGAGGATTAAACTCTTATTTATAACAAAAGATAAATAAAGGCAAAGCGGTCACACAATGCCGACTGTCTAGTAACATTTATCATGTTTTAGTATAACGTACTTTTTTTTCCAATAGTTTTTCAATTCTTCTTCCTTATCTTTCTACATACTTATATCTTTTTTTAACAAAGATAAATATACATTTGCTTATTATCATTACTACATAATAATGCATTATTACCCAAGCCCATAAAGTTGAATAAAAATGACATGCTTAATTAAAAGATAGATATTCGAGATGCGTTGAGTTTAAATAGAATAAATAACAGACTATACGTTCTCAATGTAATAATATTTAATGAAATATTAATATTCCATTAAATCGATATTTAATTAAATATATTAATGTTAAAAAGCATTATTTAAATGGTATTACATATGAATCTGTAAAAGATTTGTTGTTAAAATCTATTAAATTTAATGCTAACTTGTATCTTATAAAACCTGTTAGAAAATGCATTTTAAAAAAATTAGTCCAGACCAGATATTTAATTGAAACCTTTACTTTCTGCGGGTATCTTTATCAATTCGACCGATGAATTGGGGAAAAAGTAGGTAAAAAGTATCACTTCGCACAGTAATTATTTTGATAGACGCAAACACTTGATATTTTTATTCGTTTTAAAGAAATAATTTTTGTATTGATATCATTCATTTTGGATTAATGAACATCTTATAAGTAATGTATTAATTTTTTACGACTTTTTTCTACAATATATTTTTTTTCTAAAGTATAATTTATATATCATATTTTGACATAAAAATAAAAATGTCTGTTCGTATTTAACGTTGCCAGGTAATAATGACATTTATTTTCATAGCAATCTTAAATTCAAGAATAGATGTTTCTTATAAATCTTGAGTTGTTAAATTCGAAATCATACGCGTCATCACATCCAATTTTCTCTATCGATAATCAAGAAACATGATGCAAATCTGTGAAAATTAAAACATTTAAGGAAAGAGCAAATGTAAATATGACATTTAATGCAATTGCAAAACTGATTTTATATTTTTGTAAGTTAAGTAAAGCATAAGAAATAGCAAAAGTTTACTTTTGATATTTCCTCAATTGTTTAAATTTTTACAGATTTTTCATCAATTTTCTTGATTATCTACAAAACTGAACGTAATGGCGCAAAGCGGCTTATTTCTGTTAATCCAGATAGTTAATCTATCCAAATTACCTCGCTTCATTTTTTACATCCGTAGCTAAATTAAATGAAAAAACAGATACACATTTTCAGAATACAATCACAAATATTTTATTTGTGAAAACATATATAAAATAAAAAAAAACTATAATACAGGTAAACTTGTTATATATATTTTTACTTCAAATATTTATCGATATTTTTCTAAATATATCAATGCATCGTATATTATTGCGAGCCTAACGTTTGGCTTTATTTTACTTTCGTTATAAGAATTACGAAAAAAATTGACTCTCGGATATTAATTTCGCTTTATCTTCTTATGATGTATTGAAACTACTGATCGTATACAGAAAATCTGTAAGAATATACTTTCTAGATTGTAGATTTACTTATTGTCAAAATATTTTTTATATGTCGGATAAAATCGAAGACGAATAACTTTTTTTATTTAAAATTCAAGTGACAATAAACTTAAAAAATAAAAAATTGATATATTTATAATATTTTTATATTATATAATCAAACTTGATCTATAAAAAGAACCTTTAATTATTACACCGTTCAAACACAGATTTATTATTTAACAAATATTACATTAAATAAAATATTTTTCCCCTTTTATTTCAAAAGAACCAAAAAAGATATACAAGATTTCGAATTATTTATGATTTTCTTTTGATCGTAATTTTGTTTAAAAATCTAACTTGTAATAAATTTACAAAATAATAGCAACGTTTACTCTATCTTCATCTCATTTATTTTTTGATAAATTGAAAAAAACTCGGTCGTAATTTATCACATAATAGAATCCAGTCCTAAAAGACTTGTTCTATCAATTGAAATAAACGAAAGGCCATGAAGAACACCTCGTCAAGGTGAGACCTCGTCAGTACTGACTCTCGGTGACAGGTCTTACGCCAGGCTGCTGATTATAGCCGAGCTGTTGATATTGTTGGTTCTGGTACGCCGGCTGTATATTAGCTTGCGTATACGTGCTAGCTTGACTCTCGTAGGCGCCACCCTGACCTTGGTACTGTGCTTGCTGTAAAGACTGCTGCTGCTGCTGCTGCTGCTGCTGCTGCTGCTGTGGGTCACGCGTCCACGGGGTGCGGCACGTATGGCTTCTCCGGACGATATACGATCTGATTAGCAATTATATTGTACGGGGTTTGCGCCTGATATCTCAGCAATTCGCGCAAGTGAGATGGCAGATTGGGTGAATATTGAGGTTGCGGTTCCGCCGGCGGCTGGGATATTTTATTGTATTGTTGAGCCTGACGTTTGCTCCTGGAGTGGCCGCGTGACTTTTGACGAGGTGCAGACGCGACCACGGGATCAGGTAAAGGGGCAGTCGCTGCCTCTTGCACCAACTTCTTGAGATGTTCCTGGACCTGTTGAGATTGAGCTCGCACTGCGGCTTCTTCGTCGAATCTGCAATTTGATTAAGGATCATTAAAACTGCGTATTTGGATTAAGTAATAACAGATAATACTTAATATCAACAAAATATAAGTAAAAATGTTATATATACGTAATCTTATTTAATATTTTTATTGTTTCGAACAATATGCTTCGAACCTGTATGGTTCCGGAATTATATTGATGTACGGAATTTGCTGCTGGAACTGGAGCAGTTGCTGGATCTGTGGCGGTGCATTAGAGTAAGGCCTATAATTTGGCTGTGGTTCCGGTTGCTCTTGAGGTTGTACTCGCGGTTGTTGCACTCGTTGTCGGGGCGCAGCTGGTCGTGCAATTGGTTCCGCAGCTTGCACATATTGCGGTTCTGCCTGAGCTTGAGGACGTGCTTGACGATCATACGACCTCCAGTTTACTCTATAACCTTTCAATGTATATTCACATCAGATCGATTTGGATATGAACATTTTTGGATATAAACATTTGAATATAATGTGATAAAGCTCATGAAGCAAAGTTGACGATACCGCTAGGATCGTTATACTGGAGCGCCTTTGCATTGATACCCTGATTAGAGTAATCTTCCTGATATGTAGGCTGACCGTATCGATCGATCGGTCCTTGTACATTGTAAGTGGCCGATCCACCATCTGAAGGCCCTTGAATCTGGAAATTTGAATGCCCATCCGTAGCACCTTGAATCTTGAAGTTACTATTACCGTCAGTCGCACCTTGAATGGTGAAATCTCCTGGTCCCCCTCCCTCTAAAAACCGAAACACTTAAGAATACTGCGTAAAAAAACATATACATAAAGAAATTATAAATTACATTTATCTAAATATAGGAACTTATTTCAAGTAATATTTAACTATTACTATAACTATAAGATTACAAAAGTTAGAAAAAACAAGAGATAAATGCTTAAAAAAGAATTTTTATGCTTATTTCAAAATATAGTTAAAAATATATATATAATTAATTTTTAAAAAGTTAAAATATTCTAGAAAACATTCTTTAAAATCACTACAAATTGTTTTCATAATTTCTGGTCGTTTTTATAATTTCTAGTCGCATTGTCTATATTTATCTACACTTACCACTCGCGTCTGTGTATTCTATTCCTTTCTCTTCGCTGAACTTAAGACCCTGAGCCCGTCGATGTCCGTCACTAGGCCCCTGGATTGTGAATTCAGCCAGGCACATGGGAAGTGCCGTTAATAATAAAACCTGTGACAGATTTATGACAGAATTTTATACAATACGTCATAACAAGACATGGTAAAATATATTACAATTTATACAATATTTAAGTATTGGCAATAAAAGAGAAAGTACATTATGCAAAAGAATAAATAAAATTATTTATCAATTCCACACAACAGTTTTCATTATATTTTTTTAAGTAAATACTTATTGTTAGTATAAAATAATACAATTATATTTTTCATTATTGTATTGATCTTTTTAATCATTAAGATAAAATCGGAATGTAACATTACATTACATTCAAGCATTTATCTCATTCTCGATGTTAAGTGCTTTCGATTTCGCAACTAGACGATCAAAGATCATTATCTAATGCGCGTGGCACTAAACCTGAATCTGTCTTACGGTATGTACTATATTGCATATATGGAAGCGAATCGAGCAACCGGCACCGGGAAGTTGGAAGGGAAAGTCCGCGAGTACATGAATCTTTAATCACGGTAATCGGGGAAAAGGTGAGCACGTTACTAGTTAACATTCGCGATCGCAAGACTGTTAGAAACGCGGCCACACAAAAAGATAGATAGAAGAAAAAAGAAAAAATGCAAGTCGCAAGTCGACTCGCGACTTACAAGCGATCGAATGTACTAAGTAACGAACACGATCGGTAGAAAGTGAGATAGACATTAATCGTCCAGACACGCCCAATGTGATTATTCGAGAAAAAAATTAACTTCGACTCGTTTCGAAAATGTCTATCTCTGTAACCAGCTGTCACGAGACAAAATGCTTCAGAATCGCATGTACGACAAATTCTACGCGAGTTTTATCTTGCAGAACGCGGAAACCGAGCGACATTTCGAGGAACGAGTCGCGACACGCATGCTGATTATTGAGGTCTACATATATTTCTTTTTCTTCAAGCAATCTGGACGAAAGGATATTGTAATACTGACTAAAATACATTTAAACTAATATGTAATTTTATTTAATATTTGTTGTTTTAAAAAATTTTTTTATATTTTCTTTGTCTGAGTGTCTATCTTATCTCATGGTAGGTTTAATTTTTATAAGAAGAGAATAATACGTGGATTTAGCTCTTATAAGAGAAAAGTATGTATGCAGCGTGACAGCAAAGCGAATTGACAACAAAGTGATCGATGGAACAAAGACTATTTTCTTGAAACCTCAATCCGCGAGCTTGCAGCACGATTGCAAAAACCTGATCACTCGTATCCGCGGCTAATTGGGTCGTGAAATGCACTCTTGGTCAGCGACCTCGGTAATTAAGAAGCATTATGATTCGTCTCTTTACGATGCAATTAAATGCACGACATCCATCATTCCTTTATTCACGCTCGTTACCTTTCGACGGAAGGCGGAGTTGAATATCTCTGACAAAACAACTTCCCGTCTTGCTTTCGCGTCTTGCGACCACGATAAAATGAAACCTTACAAGAGTGCATTCAATTTTCGCGATACAAAACGGAAATACAAAAACGGAAGTACAAAATACAGAGTAAAATATAGAGATAAATTCATGATCCAATTAATAACTGAAAAAATATTTTGCAATACATAGCAATAAAATGACACACATGACACTTTTAGAAAATTTCATACTTTTTTTATTTTTTTGACGTGATGAGATGGTATCGTGAACAAACATACACACACACACACACACACACACACACACACACACACACACACACACACACACATATATATATGTCTACGAGATTCACATAATGATTAAGGTTTTGATTTCAGATATATGCGAGAAAATCTTCAAGACTGAAATAGCGCAAAATAACGAATGACACTCGTTAATCGAATCGTCGCATAATTTATTTCCGGTATATCTAGTTTGTATATGCAATACGATCAGGCGCACGCGACTTTATTTCGATTGCATCGCGCGCTAAAAGAAAACGTGCGAGTGGAAAAATATGCGTGTATTCTACATTGAAAACCTTTCGGTTAAGTAAAAGAAAAAAAAAGATTAACATAAGACAGCTGGCGTACTTACATGTAATTTCATGGCGTGAAAGCTGGTCGATTCGTTAAAGGGTGGAGTGTTTCTGAGACGGGCGCGCGGTCATCAGAACAACTTTATAGCCAGCCACGTAAAAGGAGCCTTTCGACGACGGGGATGTGACTCGCCGAGAGCCACCTCCATCTTGCACCTCGTCGGCCGGCCAACGTCGTGTTCCAACAGTCATTGCTCTTTCTGCAAACGCGAGCGTATTAAAGAAAATCACTTCCGGCGCAAGTAACACTTACGTCAATTTTATTGTAAATTCTATTTGCAGATTCTATTTGTGTCTCAATAAATTAAATTTTGATCGACAAATGCTCTTTAATATTGTAAATTTCTATTTTGCATTGATCTTTTACATTGATTTTTGCCTGTTATTTATTTAAAAAAAAAAACAAAAATTTTACAGAATTTTTTTTTACTCAAATTAATTTAATTTCAATTTTATAAATTATATATTACGATATTATTTTCATTTTATATAATAATGAGAAATACATTTTTTTTTTGCAAAGACTCAAGTTTTGCTTGTTTCGGTTTATCAAGTTTTTTTGTCCAACTATGACGCATTTATCTCTTACACGATGTATTTTCACTTTTATTGTGAAAAGTCTTGAGTACAATGATGGAAAACTACGAAATAGCTGCAGTAGAATGCAGTGCAATACGATGTTTCCCAGGCAATCGCCATTCAAAGGTTACGGTGTAAAGACCACGAAGATCTGCAATTAATTGCCGACATTGAATTCAATCATTGTCCTGTCAAGTTACGTAAAGGCGCTACACTCCGTTGCTTCTAGCATTAAAGTACTGATAATAATATGGATTTAAAAGAAAAATTAAAGGAAAATAAAATAAGAGAGTAAAAAGTTTTAATTTATTGCAATTTTGGTACGATTAGTATAGATAGTGATTACACACGCAAAAATATAATCAGGGGAATTGTTCTTTGAATTATGTCGCATTATTCTGAATGCAACTAAAACCTATATTATTCTCGTCTCAACCCTAGAAATTACAGATTTCTATTTTCGCAATAGATTCGATAATCTTTGATGCTCTGTATCATTAAACTCATAAAGTCTTATTGTTAGTTCCATAGATTCCTATTTCAGATACACAATTATGGAAGCGTATTTCTCCTTTATCCATTTATTTGACTACAAAATCGTTCTTACTCACAGATGGAAATGCTGTGTTACGTCAGTTTACAGTAGAAAGTTACACCGTGTCGCATCATGATAGATAGATCGTCGATCTCCCATGAAATTACAGATTTATTACCCAGAACTATTGACATGCGAAAACAATTCTTATGGCATTATTCGGTACTAGTAAAAATATATTCCAAAACGACTCTGAATTGATGTTAAATCAACATCTAATTGATATCGAAATTATTGTATCGATATTGATTGGATATCTATTCGATGAGTTATTTCTTCTACTGAGACATTTTTATGGATTATGAATAAAAGGTATGTAAATAATACGTACAAGATGATTCACGAAGAAAACGCAACAAAATTATAGAAATGATTTATCAGATAATAACATTTGCGATGGAAAAAATGTACAATGTACAAAAAAACCAATTGCAAATAATCATAAGATAAGATTATTGTGATAAGATTAATCTTATTAAATAGACATTTTATGTATTCAAATGTAATAAAATAATTTAGTTATATTTTATTTTAATGAAACGCTTTTTACAGCATATTTTTACAATATACATTTTTATCATTATTTCTCCTACGCTGCAGATAATTTTTGCACTGAAAGAAAAGATTGGTTGCTGCAACAATTTAGATAGTAAAATATAACACAGCATTTTTATATGACATTTTTATATTACAGCAACCAGTTTTTTATTGTAACACCAATTTTTTTTTCAGTGTGGCTTCTTTATCATGTATGTAAACGCATTAATTATATTTACGCAATTAATTATATAATTACCAATGCAGATTTATCATGAATCACTGTGTAAAATTACAACTACAATTTCGATTTTCTCAAGTAGGATCGGTGAACTCAAAGGGCGCGACCTTGGTGAATTATCTATTTGTACAAGAAGGCGCCGGTAAAGAGTAAATAAAAAGGAAAATTACGCAAAATGAAAGCACGGCTACATTCGCAACAACTCGACGGGTGTATTAACACACGAAGCGTGAAGGTCACGAAATTGGATTGTCAGTCTTCCTTGTCTGGAGAAATGCTATTTAGCCATGCTTTTTCGAATTCGCACATTGTATGTAAATGTTCTCACTTTGTATTGTCACGCATCAATAAATGAAATCCGCCTGATCGGATTTAATTCCACGTATTAAATAGTTTTTTTGCGATCAATAAGAATCCAATCCCTTTCTAATTAGAATCATGAAATCTATTAATAAAATTTATATGTTACAAGCTGTCGCACATACTTCTTTCTCTCGTCAAATCAGAATATTCACGTCAGGCAATATAATTTCCAATATTTATGTGATTCAATAAGGAATTTTTCAGATTATGCCAATTTATTTCCTTTTATAATTTATATCTTAAACACGCTCTTATAGTAATGTTACATTGTGAATTTCTGTGTAAGACGAAATATTGCTTTCATCGTAGAGAGATCAGATATCTTTATTTAATAGAAAGTTAAAAATCATCTGACTTTCTCTATTTGCTTTAATAACGTAGGATTTAATAATTATCCTCATGTATAATTAAATCACAAGTCGCGCAAAACGTGAGACTTCCTGAAAGGAGTAAACGATAAATGGACTTTTATCAGATTTTCGTTCGCGCGTTTAATTCATCTTTTTACGAGCGGAAATGCCGTCAAGTCTTGCGAGCTAAAATAAAAGCGAAGATTGCGTTACGATCAGGTGAATGACTTCCATGATACCAGAAGCGGAAACGTTTATTTCATATAAAAAATTACATTCTTCATGCTACCATGTATATAATCAAACATTCTCTATCTTACATGCATACGCAAAAAAAACTGAATAGGTACATCTTATTAATAATAAAATTATAAAATTATAATTACAATATTGAGTGAAATAAAAAACAAACAGAAAATTAATCGGAAGGAAATTTGATAAATCAGTTTTACATCTTATTTCTGTCTTGATAAATTTTTTGTCATCATTCATTAATTATGTTTCAAATAAATTTTCATAAAATTTAATGAAGTATTTTTTGCTTATGTGATTTTCATTCATTTTTATACATTTTTTTTAACACATTATTTTATGTTAATTATGAATTGAATAATTTTTTTATAATTAGTATATTTAATACTATTATAATTGTCGGGCGAACATTCATTCATTTTTGGTCCCTAAAGAAATATTCTGCAGTGACCAGGTTGTTGGCAAATATCATACATGGTAGACATACATCGTTATATCAAGAAGAATATATAATAATTTAAAATATATAAGACACTCGTTTTAACAAAGCCTCGATAACATCAAAATCTAAAAACTATATTCCGGTATGAGAATGAGATTCAACTCAATAGAGTTTTAGAACCAGCTGACTTTTCTTCAAAAGTTACCAAGAAATAGAATATTTAATTATATAAATCGTATTATATATTATGGACCAATTTTCGGTCAATGGCGCTGTTCCTCGTCGACCGGCTTGTTCTGCGAATATTCCGCGTCAATGTTATCATCGTTTGGATAGTAAATCTTACTACGATAATAATAAGGTCCCTTGGCATCATTGGGTAACGGTTTGGGGACGAAAACGTTTTTCGGTGTGTATTGAATACGATTCGCTGTAAGATCGTATGGTATCTGTGCCTGATATTTTAGCAATTGCTTGATCTCCGTAGGCATATTCCTGTCCAAGTATAGAGTAGGCATTGGAGATTCTGGTACGGCTGCTAATGGAAACGTTACGATCTGTTGCTGCTGCTGTTGCTGCTGCTGTTGCTGCTGCTGTTGCTGCTGCTGTTGCTGCTCGTAATCCTCCTTATAGGCGACTCTATCCTGACGCTCTACTCTTCTATCGCTGTAATCATACCTGGGCTGCGCTCTTTGAGGATCAATCGATTGGTATTTCTCCGCCGGTTGTAAATATGCACCACGAGGATATTCAGAAGCGGCAGGAGCCGGTTGCTCACGTTGCTGCGGTGCCGCCGCAAAATAGTTGCCGCCATAAATGAAAGATGTAGGATCAACATAAGGAGCTTGCGGCTGATAGACCGAATCGATCAGCTGTTTAATATGATTCGGCACTGCCGAATACGGCTTGTAGCTGTAATACTGTGGACCTGCTTGGGCCTGCTGTTGGGCTTGCTGAGGCTGAGGCTGGGCCAGTTGTTGGGCTTGTCGAAGACGAAGGGATGAACCGCCCTCAGCACGTTGAGATCGCTGAGCGTTCGCTTGCTGCGATCGTAACTGGCCCTGAAGAGCGAGGTACTCCGAATGGAACCTCGAATCTGCAACACCGAAAGAAACGCTCCGTCATTCTGGCATTGATTAAGACTGGTCGTCGATTATTGTTTACGCAATATTGACCTCAGTCGGAGATCATAAAGGAATTGTTCTAAAGATCTGGGATGTGAAAATCTATTCTTGCGTGCATACAATAGCAGTAGCGGTAACAATTAATTGCGATATATCGGGACCAAGGTTTCCGAACATCTTCAACAGCAAGTAATCAAAGAAACTCACCGTCACTATCCGCATACTTGATTTGCTCTTGTGGCGCGCGAACAGATCTCCCTACATTTTCCGTTTTTACCCACGCGATTGATGTCACCGCAATAAGAAAAATCTGCAAATTTGTAATCAATAATATATATATATATATATGAACCAGTTGTTATGATATATTGTGCAATATCATAATAATTGGCTTTAAATTAAAAGTAATTTAAAGTAATAAAACTAAACAAATGTTTCAAAGATAAATTCATAATGTCAAATTATATTCAATTGAAGTTATTTTTAATCGTTATCGGCCACTCTTACTCAATAGTTAACTAAAACAATACAGTTAAATAATTTAACTAAAGAAGTGTATTAAGTTTGACTTAAATTTATGTAATTCATTATTTACTATATAAGTGCA